TAAATTGTTATAGAAGTGTATTCGGTAAGTGCATTCAAGACAAAAAGGTGAAACATAAATGGAATAAGAGTTAGAAAAGAAAAGCAAAGTTTTATCAGATCAGTTTACCAAACTTGTAAAGCTTGATTTTTGAAGAAAGTGAAAAATAAAATAAAATGAAGACAAAATTATTATAAAATAGGCAATTTAGGTCAACAAACAAGCTAGCTCTGGGACCTCTGAAATGATATTTCTCTACACATTCTACATTTTCATATGACAGAATGAAACACAGGTATCTAAACAGACAGTCGTAAGAAGACGACAAATTAATTGGATGAAAATATGGCTACAAGTGTGATATATTTAAATGCTTGTTGCAGCGCCTTTCTTTTATTTTTTCATGAGAATGTGCCAACTGCACCTCATCTGTTTTGCTTCATCGTCCCTTCATGCATTTTGTCGGTGGAGGCTTGGGTGACCGGGACCTCCAGCTGATAGCGTCTGGAATTACCGGTCAGGGTGAAAGAAAAATGGGGGACAAAGACCCATGAGTCTGCGCTCTGACAGACTCTGTCAGTGGCGGCTTTGTAGGAGGGTGAGGTGCACTGACCTGCTTTTCTTAGGCTGCCACCCTGATTGCTTCGAGAGCATGATTACATGTGTCACTGCCTTGCAAGGCTCAATCCTGGCAGTGATGGTGCAAAATTAGACATCTGTGCTTTGCCGTCCTCTTGAGAACATCCTGCAGAACCGTCTGTGACAACAGGGGTTTTTTTTCTCACGTTTTTATGTATTGAACTCAGATGTCACGGAAAACAGAGATTCCCTACATCCATTGTGATACTGCGTCCCCTTTAGCAATGGACTGGATGAAAATTAAACTCTTACATATTAATTATTGATAGCATTCCATAAAAAAGCACTTTCATAAATTCTGATATTTCATCTCACGTGTTAAGAGCTGCAGCAAGATCTGCCAACTTGGTTATGACGCATAGAGATAAGCTAAATATAGTCACGAGCACCTGCCACAACAGGCAAAGGAAGCAAACACAGTTACATGCCTGAACGTAACTGGGGGGCCATGTTGTTTAAATAACACACACACATATATATATATATATATATATTTAAAAGAGATGAAAGTAGTGGCTGTAGTTTATCTTTTCCTTTGTTTGTCTTGTAGAAATTGTTAGAATAGGTCAGACACAGCACATTAGTTTGGATGCAAAAAGAAAAGGTTGGCATCAGTGGAGGATAGACTTGGCCAAAGAACATGTTCTGGTCAGCTGTTCAGCATCATTCGGTGGGAAAGCACTGACCTGTGAGCAGGGCCGATTTGTTCCAATACGGTTGCCTTCTGCTGGGAGCCTGTGAGGGTGAGGAAAGGCCTCTGGTCGTGATGTCTGTGGGAGGAATGAGAGTGATTCATAAAATGCCCTACACAAAAAGTGAGAAATAGCTGCCTTTTATTCCCAACAAGCTGGAAATAAAATAGATGCAATGGGTAACCACATTTTTCTCCTGCAGTGACTTATTTTTACAGCGTGATGCAATCGGACAACGTGTCCAAGTCAAATAAAGGAATCCCTTTACACCTAAAAAGACAGATTAAAGCAGGCATGTATAATAATTAAGTGTCTACTTGTGCTGGATTCCCCAGGCTCTTCAGAAACACACAGCCTCCAGGCAGCTGAGCGGGGCTGAAACCAGACGAGCTAAAATAATGCACCGTGATCCTAAAATAGATCACATCTGCAAAAACCCAGCAACACCAAGCCTCTCGCTTTAAATTTCCCTTTGTGCATAGTTTGTGTAAGCATGTGCTCATGTGCACGTCCATGTGCTCTGCAGTAGGTGCACACGTGCCAGTCCTCGCAGGAGAATCATTGGACTGAATGCATTACAGGGAAGCAATAAATGCTGTTCTAAAAAAGTACCGCACACGTTTGGGATGATTCTGTGTGCGTCGCTTCATCACCAAGCCAGCTTACACGTGCCTTATTAATCAGCGGTTGAGCTCACGACTGTGTCGAATGACACCATATGGGTGAAATAAAGCTTAGCTTCATACGGGGATATGTGTTAAAGTCACTCCATCGGCCTGGCAGAAAGGACGAGGCGAGACAGGCCAGGTTGGGTTGTTGTCTGCAGGTGCTAGATGGAAAACAGCTTCCAGATCACAATCTTAATCTGTATCATTGACCGAGAAGCAAATGCAACATCAAGTCAGCGTCACCACAGAACTGTCTACAGAGTGAAGAAGGTGAATTAACCCAACTGGCTGATTCGACTTTTTGTTAAAGCTTAACTGGATAAAAGCGCTCTCTGGGGTCTCCCTTTACATTAAAGCCAATACAGTTCTTCAGATTAAACCACTTGTAACACTAACAAGGAGTAGGGTACAATAATGTGGTCACGTTACAGTGTTGTGAGTGAGTGACAGCTGGAGCCATGTAGGTCACTGTGACAGGTTGACTTCTTAAACATCACCTGTACAGGTGTGCTGTAAGCCTGGCTAATGAGTACTGAGCCACTGGAAACCCAGTGACATCGCAATAAGGCAAATGTGACCTGTGACCTTTTATTCCACTGTTATAGATGCATATACATCAGCTGACACTGAATAAGTAAATGAGCACATTTTGTTTTCACTTTTTTTTCTTAAAAACAATAAATTGAATTCTGTTTTTGGATGAACTGTAACACTTTAAGACTTGGACAAACTTTTATTGTACATGCAATAAACTTGTGCTCCCTTTGCCCATGGAAATCCATAATCCATTAACACGAAGGTCGGAGGGACCATATACAAAAAGGATATTTGCTCTCATACCAAATAAACAATGGACCTACAATCAAGACAGCAAAAGCCATGCCTTTATTGATGTGGTTAGGTCTTAGCTGGATGTAGGATCATCTCGACAGGTGTATGAGAGCAGGTTGATCTTAAAACTGTCCCCCATTAGGGTCAACTGGTTAAAGGGTTAAAGCAAAGCAATAAAACCAGGAGCCATTGAGGTAAACACCAACAAACTAAAACCTGCTGCTCATGAACACTGTCATCTGTCAGACATGTCTAATCATGCTCTCCATTTATTTTGTATTGCACATCGCTGAATGTGACCACAAGGAAAAGGATGGATGTAAAGTGGTGGTAAATAGTCATCAAACCATGTGATCACAAATAGTGCAAGTCCTTAGTTTTAGACATAATTTGTAAAAAGGAATTTTGCATTTTTTCACTCATGCAGGAAAAAAAAGGCTACAATTCTTTAAAGTGCCAAAAACAGCAAAGGTTAAATTTATGTCAGTTCCCATGTAGGGTGTGAAAAATATACCAGAACACTTATAGACTTCCAGAATCTGTCAGCACAACAAACACTGAAGTAAGTAGGCTAAACAACGACTGAAATAGAAATGGATCAGATTTTTCATCATAACTTGGCATGCACTCAGGGGAAAGGGGGTGGACTGCGAAATAAGCACTCAAGTAGGATAGCTTATGAAAGAGAAATGGAAATCATTTCAAAGTTACGTTTAATATTCTTGGAATGAGTTTTTTAAAAAGTGAATACAATAAAAATGGTCGATTTTTACTATAGTTTCATTATAAAGGTTTACCTGTTAGAGGTCTGTCCTACAATTATCAGGGATGTTAGCCCTGTATCAGAGCAAAAGTAATATAAAAATGAAGATAACACATGCTCTGACACTGGTGCCAGTGGAGATAAAGCAGTGATAACATTAATATTCATAGAACATATTCATATTGTCTGTATCATAACAATATAACACGGACAACATTATGATCCCATAAGATAATCCCAGGAAACTTTTATGAGCATCGTCAATTTGTTTTTGTAATTTTCCTGCCTGTAAACTGGAATATTGATCCCTATTCGATTAATAAGAACTTCCTGCTTTGCTACCAGACAGTCAGTCTAGTATCCAGCGAACAAACAACTCCTCACCTTGTTATTTATTTCTGGCAACATGCTGTGTTATCAGCCTTGACAATCCAAAAACAAAGGAGAAATTACGAAATCCAAGTCATTATATCCAACTCTGTCCGTCCAACCTCAAAAACAAGGCGCACTTTCCAAAAGTCCAACTTCGTGATGAACACTGAATCAACACTGATGAGGAAAATCCCGATGACTGATCAGATTCCCACAACCGAAAGCTGCCGTACTCCCGGTTTTACGCGCACACGGTAAATGCACTGTCGTCAGAGAGGAGATTAGCCCGCGAGACAAGCTGTTGTGCCGTGACGCGCTCTGCTAAGACACCGGAGGAGCCACCTGTTCAGGTTTCTGCCGCTGACAGCTGGGGCTGTCCCGATATAGATTTGTTGGTTTTTTTATCCGCTTGCTGTCGTCCACCTACACACCATGCGGTGTGACTGATGCGCTCTCCAACACCGACGCTGTGCAGCGAGGGCTGCACCAACGCACGCACGCACTGGCCACAATGCTCGAGCTCACTTCAGGTACTGTAAATGTTTTGCAGACAAAGTGAGGTCCAGAAACCTCTGCGCTGTCGAAAGCGCTCAAGTAACGCACGGTCACGGTCTCACCGTCGTTCTTCAAAAGTCATCTTTTAGATGAGTCCTCATCTTTAAGTGACACGCACACGCGCGATGTGTTTTCCACAGTAGCTACATTCAGATAAATCCAGCAGGTTTACTGGATTAAAACTTTTATTTTATTCCCTTTGTGTCTTTCTGCCAACATTAATTAAAATTAAGCAGTTCTGCTAAAATTTGCCATGTTTTACAGTCCTGTGCCATTTGTGCGTGCGCTGCAGGGTCAAGTAGTTGATAAAAATGAACTAAAATCTCAGCTCCTTGAGCAAGATACTAAACCTCAAGCTGCTCTCTGATTATTGTAGTGTGAATGATAGATACAAAGCAATTAGGCTTGGGTGAATGAGTGGAGTTGTACCAAGCCCTTTTAGTGTTCGAGTAGAGCAGAAAAGTGCTATATAAGAAGTATTCTATAAAACAGAATGTCAAAACAGTGATTAATGCGCTCAACGCATTTCAACACATTTGTTAGTCATAGCACACTTTAAAGGAACTTCATAAAACTAGTGCTGCCACGATTAGTTGACTAGTCACGATTACGTCGACTATCAAAATCGTTGACAACGAATTTAGTAGTCGAAGACCGAGAATTGAAGGCTGCATTTGA